CCTTCACCCTTTTGGATTTAAAGTCCACGCGTGCTAACCATTAAACCGCATTTAGGATTCTGGTCAGCATTGGTTTCCGGTCATCCTATGCAAATTTTGTGTTGGTTGTCCACTTGCGAAACGGCAAAAAAAAACAACGGCACCCTGGGCCTTCGAAATCACTTTATAACTGTTGATGTTATTAGTGCGAAATTGCACAGGTGAAGAAGGCCGTGGTTTTTCCCACCCCCAGTATAAATTCTTTAGCCAAGGTCACAGCTAAATAAACAGCGGTCTGTTTTTTTTCGTGCGTTCTGCAGAGGGGGGGGGGGGGGGGGGGGGCGGCGGGAGGGGGGGGGGCGGCGGGAGGGGGGGGGGTCACGTGAATATTTTGGTGGCGCATTCCTCTGCGAGTTGTCCCGTCTTGCCTACAAGTGTCTCTGTGTGTGTTCATCGGAATGCTCTTTTGCTTATCATTCTTCCTGACACTTCGATTTGCCCTCTTTATCGAGGCCCTATTTACCTGTCTTTGTTTTCAGCTTCTCTCTACGCTTGTTTAATCTCTGTTCGCTGAATAATAATAATAGCAAAAAATGTTGTTCCGTATAGCGTCGTGCTAATTGCATTTCACGGTGCTGTACAATTCCTATATAAGGGGATACATACTACTTTTCGGAAATTATTAAGGAAATGAAAACCCTCCGAAAACGAAACAATAATGAACTATCAAGAAATGACATGAAAGCAAAAAGGTGTGTATATATATTAAAATATTTTTGCGTTGTCACAACAGCAATGAGTCCACTCAATTGCATCCCAGAGAACAAACCCAATTTCTCACACAAGCCAAGGATCCTTCACAGGAGGGGTGATGATCTTCTTTCATTCGTTTGGCAATCATTCATTAATTCCTTCGTCGCTGTACTCGCGTGGAGTTCGAAGAGACTGAAAACTGACCGGAACGCTCTCTCTAGCTCTCACGCTCCCTCGCGCTCTCTCTCGCTCTCTTTCGCTCTCTCTCGCTCTCTCTCGCTCCCTCGTGCTCCCTCTCGCTCTCTCTCTCCCACGAACTTTGAAGTTGCAATTAAGTTGTAACGTGCCAAGGAAGTGGTGTCGATGCGATCGCGGAGAGGAGAGGGTCGCAGTGGGGGTGGGACAGGTGTACGGGGATGAGAGGGGGGAGGGTGGTTCACCGTCGCAGGCATCCAAGTGAGGTCAGAGGTCAGGCGGGAAAAGTTTAAAGCCAGACGGTGGCGTTCATGAGGCCACGAGGGGCAGGTGTAGAATGCAAAGTGGCAGGTTTACACAAACTGAAGAACCTAGCACAAGGAAGGAAGTGATGGCTATGCGCGGCACTTTTTAACACCGTTGGTTGTGACGATCTCTGGAACTTATTCCATCACTTGGTTCTTCCCTCCGTCTACTAAATGTTAAATCAAGAAGTCAAAGGCAGAGTGATTTCCTGCTTAAATGAGCATTCAGGCGGCGCTCATCTTCTGCGCACGGCCTTGAGCCAGTGGTGGAAATTCCACGTTCCTATGGCGGGGGGCGAGTACTTCCGTAGGGCAGCCATAGGACAGACCCTGGAGGGACGATGGGCTGAGTCAAACCCCCGACGAGGATGCGAACTCGCAAACCTTCCTCCTGCGAGCCGCTTGCTCTACGGCTGAGTCACCTGGCCAGCCACTGCAACGCGTAGCAGGTGCAATAAATGTTTTCTCCTCTGCAGTCGAATCACGGGCACCTCATCAATGCTCATTGGAGCAAGAAATCGCCTCTGACTTTTTAATTTCGACGAAACGTTTTGCTTCGTTTCCCTTCCCCCCCCCTCTCTCTCACATCCGTCTCCATCCACACTTCAAAAATGATTCGTGCCTGAGTGTTTGACCGGCGGGGGGGGGGGGGGGCGGCTGCTGCTGTTGTTGCTGTTTCTGCTGCTGTTGCTGCTGTTGTTGCTATTGCTGCTGCTGCTATTGTTACTGCTACTGCTAGTATTACTGTTGCTGCTGTTGCTGCTGCTGTTTCTGCTGTTCTGCTGTTGCTGCTGCTATTGTTACTGCTGCTGTTGCTGCTGTTGCTGCTACTGCTGCTGTTGCTGCTGTTGCTGCTGCTACTGTTGCTATTTCTGCCGTTAATGCTGTTCTGCTGCTATTGTTACTGCTGTTGCTGCTGCCGCCGCCGCTGCTGCTGTTACAGCAAGGCCCTCATGGCAGCTGTGGGGCTTAGCGGAGAGCGCTTAATTACGTGCGGGGGGAGGGAGGGATTGCAATGCACGTCCCTCGCACGGCCGCCGTAATCTCCACCTCTCCACGTCCTCCGCCACCCCCGCCAAAGCTGCACGGTCGTGTCAAAACAAAGCGTTCTCGACGCACCGCACCGATTCTGGGGAAGGGAACGCGGGAGGTTTTTTCTTTTCGTTCATTCATTCAATACGCTCCCTATTATTGAGAGAGTGTTTGCAATTAGCGACTCAAAGCAGAGCGGCGCCCTCCGCGGTCCACTTCTCTGTTGGGTCGGATTGCTTCTTTGCCCCCTTTCGCTTGGCCGTGTATGTGTGTTTTTTTTTCCATTTCGCAGGGAGATGGGGCGAAACAGAACGGCCGCTAGCTAAACTACAAAAACACAACAGCCCCCTCCGCGTTTCTTTCCTCGTCTTTGACGTCGCGTGAGATTTTCAACAACGGATTTTTTTGTTTGATGGATATTCCCCCCCGGGGGGCTTTTTTGACGCGGAATCTCGCAAGAGTCTTAGCGGATTAAATTTTTTTTTAATTACTGTGATTATTATCGTCGTGCAACTTGTGCATATTTTTGGAAATGTATGAACAATGGGGCGGGAGTTTAAAAGTTGCATTGTACGCGCGCGTTATTGATGTTGTGCACGTGCTGTTGCGCCCGGGAAGGCGACGATGTGGCGAGGGCGACGCTCCAGCACCGTCTGTCAATGCCGCGTTGCTGGCATTGTGCTGTCTGTTTTTCTTTCTGATTGTCGAGTTTTACAGTGGGGCTCTCTGTCTCTCTCTCTCTCCCTGTGTTGCCACATCCTCCTCTCTCAAAAGAAGTCGGCGAGCGTGATATTCCTTTCATTCAGCTCTGTCTGTGTATGTGTTTATGTATGTGGGGAGCGGTAGTGTAGCGGTTAGCGCGCTGCGCTGTGAACCCGGCGACCCGAGTTTCGGGGAAATACAACAAACTAAACGCGCAAAGAAATGAGGTGTCAATATTGATTTAAAACTCATTGATATATATTTATAGATTTGAAGCTTTCGTGACTGCAAGGATTCATACTCTTAGGTTTTTTTTGCCGTAAAGTCACGTAGTTAAAAATAAATAATAAAAATCATTAATAAAAATAATAGAAATAAAATACAAAATCACGACCTTTCGGAGGCAACACAAGTCTCTGTCATCAGGTGGGACCGTCACAGCTAAAATTGACTGTATCAAGTGCTAAATTTTACCGTATCAAGTGATACAGTAAATTTGAGCTGTGACGGTCCCACCTGATGACGGAGCCTTGTGTTGCCTCCGAAACGTCGTGATTTATTATTTTATTTCTATTATTATTTCTATTATTTTTATTATTTATTTTCATTGATATATACTCAAGAAATTTACATTAGATAGCCCCCCCCAGTTGCATCCAAACGTTTCACATTGCCTACGTGACTCTTTCCCCTGCCGGCCTCTTAAGCAACCTGCAATATTCCCGGCCCGGCGCCGTGGTCTGAGCACGCAAATCCACGGAGCGAAAAAGTTTGAATTCCAGAGAAGAATCGCCGCTCCCCGTGGGTCCGTCCGCCGCTGGCCTCCGCCGCGGGAAAGTGGCGCTCTCACTGCCAGGGGTCATTGTCCACCTAGATTTGAAGCTTTCGTGACTGCAAGAATTCATATTCGAAGGTTTTCGGTAAAGTCACGTAGGTAAAAAAATTAAAATTAAAATATTTGTATTTTACTTTTATTAATTTTATTTTTTTACCTACGTGATTTTACCGAAAACCTTAGAATATCATTGTCCACCGTTGATAGGAGTGCCGGGGGGACGCACTTCGCGCGCGCTTGATCAGAGACGCTTTGACTTCAGTCACAAAGATTGCTGACGGCAATCTTTGTGACTGATACGACGTTTTTACGGTTCTCTTGAAGTCAAAGCCAGATGCTGGCGATGAACTGTGAGATTGAACCTCGGAGGTCGGTCCGCATTTAAGCAACGGCTGGAGGGGGGCATCTAGCAGAGGGAAAAAAGCGATGGCGAGGTGTGTGTGTGTGTGGCGGCATCAGCGGCGTTGGGCGTGATGACCTCTTGACCTTTGCTGTCCCTAGCGTTGGCGCTGGCCAACTGGCAGGGGGGGGGGACCCTGACTGAGATGACGTAAGAGATGTTTCCAGCAAAGACGGAATAATAAGAGAAAGAGATGCACACCTGAAAGATATCTAATTTTTATTAACTACACGTTAATTAATTTGTTTTGCACTTCTATTTTTCATGATTTTGGGTCTTCTTGAGCTATTTCTTGTATCGGTTGCTGTTAGCGAGTAGCACCTATGAAGGCCGGCACGGTGTATGAGGAGGTGCGTGGCCGCTTCGATGCCCGGCCGCTTTTGACTCCGCAGTGGCGATGTTTACACACCGCACCAGGTACTCGTTTGAAGCTGAGTCGACCGAGGAGAGGTCCAGGACCAGTTTAGATAATTGTCACTGGTGTTTGCTGTGAGCCGGTATCGAACTCGGATCGCCGGGTTCGTAGTGCAGCGTGCCAACCGCTACACTACCACTCCCCATACATACAAATACAAGAGACAAAGATCCCCCGTATAGCCTTTAACAGACTTGAGACAAGTGCTGTTAGCGAGCACCTTTGAAGGCCGGCACAGCACACGAGGGGGTTGGGTGGCCAACACCACGCCCGACATACACCCAAACACAAAGACATACACACACACACGCACGTCCATGTGTCTGTGCTTAGCGTGGGAACGGACATTCATATATATATATTTTTTTATGTCGCCCTCCACAGAGTCTTTGGACAAATGGGAGCGTCTGACTGTGGCCGATTCCCTTGAGCCTGTGCAGTTTGAGGACGGCCAAAAGATCGTGGTGCAAGGAGAGCCGGGAGATGACTTCTTCATCATCACCGAGGTGAGGCGACAGTGGCGTGCGTCGGCGACTTTGAGATTTGAAGATGGCTCAAAGCTTCGCGATCGGCCGTAGGAAAAGTTTGCTGTCCTTCAGCCCGCACCTCCGATTATCGCGGTGCCAGAGGAGTTCAACCGGCATACATACACGCCGCACTTGCGATGCTCTGGCCGCGCGTGATATCGGAGTGGCTCACATTTGCGTTGGTTCCAAATCTATTTTTACGGGAAGTGTGTTTTCTCACGTGGATGGAGTACCGTTTATTTTCCGAATTTCACGATTGCGCCTGAAGAAAAAAAAAATGTTCACGTTAATGCATGCGAAGCCACACTTGCAAGCACGGCACATTTTTTTACCAGATATGGTCTACATGCCGCAGTGTTGACACAGCCAAAAATGGACACGTCAAATGAAAGCAAATATATGAAATTAACTTGCAGCGGGCCCCTACAGCCACAACTCCCAGGGCCCAGGCTGTTCAATATGAAAAGAAAGCAGAGTCTCAGTTTTGCTTTCAGGAACATTGTCAAAGTCCAAAGCGATTTCCTGCTCGATGAGCATTGAGTTAGCGGTGGAGACTCCCCATTCTTATGGTGGGGGTGAGCTTATCCATAGGACAATCGCCGTTGAATTCCCCACAAAGTAATGCTATTTTATCGACCCCGGAGAGAGAGATCATGGGCTGAGTCAACCCTCCCCCCCCCCCAAACTAGTATTTGAATTCGCAACCTTCCGTTAAAATAAACTCCCTTAAATTCCTCCGTGGTTTCACAATTCCATCGTCAACTCTGACAACCTCCTCACACTCTGATCTGCGTACTTTCATGAAACTTTGAGGGACTGCTTCATCCGTGAAGGCCTTCCTGGATCTCAAGACCCTTGTCCCGTGAACCATCCTGCATCCCAGGTCCTTGTTTGCGTAGATTAGTTACAAATACGAGTGGGCTTGGGCGGGACACGTCGCTAGACGGGGGTTAACTGCTGAGTACAGGGGCTTCTCCTACTTACGAGCATTCGACTTATGAACTTTCAGAGATACAAACAAACTTGTCCCTATGTCCAGTTGCCTGTTCAGACCGAGAATCGTAAGTTCAACTGCCGCGCAATAGATGGCGGTGGTGGCATCTACATCTGCAGAACATGAAGAACATCTGCAGAACATGAAGAACCATCTCAAACCTATATAACCTCTGGCTGCAGTAGCTCTCTTGCTTTATTTCTTCCTGTCTAAGCAGTCCGCCTGCTGTATTTTTTCACGTGAAGACGATTGCTTGCGTTGCGATCGAAACGTCGTGATTTTTATTATTATTTTTCTATCTACGTGACTTTACCGAAAGACCCAAAGAGTATGACGAACCAGTGACATCTGCATCTACAGGAGATTATATAACTTTTCAAGTCATTCCCCATGTTTAGTGGGCACGCCGTACAACATGTTTGGAATCGACAGGAGTAAAGTTGGACTTGCGAACAAATCGACTTACAAACAGAAACCTCTGGAATCGATCTCATTCGTAAGTAGTGGAGTCCCCGTATCAACGGAGCGGCAGCCAACGAATGGAAGGTGTCCAAGGGTAGTAATGCCCTTTGAGGAAGTGGAGTGATGAAATAAGCTATAATGTGCGGGTGCTATAAGGTGGAGATTGCTACATCGCAGGATCGTGAGAGGTGGTAACGGCTTGGGGTGGTCGGCCTTCTTCACCCAGCAATGGCTGGACCTTGGCAACTGATGGTATCCGTGTGTTAGGTTGTGGGAACGCACCAGAGGCTTTCCAGATCCACGAGGTGGTAGGCGAAAGCGTTCAAAAAGCCATCAGCAACCACCTGGGTGCACCACCGCCTACCGGCCACACACGCGGCCTCTGCGCAATCGACGACCATCTCCGTTGCAGTCAACCAAAACCCCCTTCGCCTTACAAACTGCGCGGCGGTAGGGGGGGGGGGGGTAGGGGGGCGGCCGGTTGCAGGTGTGTGCCCACCACCTGATTACGCGGCTGGTGGTTGGTGCGGAGGTCAACAGGTGACGATGGGAGGGGGACGCTATCCCGCATGTCCTCGGGGCAAAGGTTTTCAAAGTTTTGTTTTTCGCCTAGATAAAGAGATACGCGTCGCGATAGGCCGTCAGATAAATAGATGGGTATCTTGATAGAGAGATAGATGTGACCTTTTCGCGTTATTGTTTGCGTTTGTCCACGGGAAAGCGCTGCCTTGCGTCAGCGATATATATGTCTTGTAAAATAACGACGGCGCGTTTTTTGTTTTTTTACGTCCGTGCCGTGTGACCTGCGGAGCCCCCGTGGCGAGACAAGCGACGCCGCCGAAACGATGTTTTCCACCGCTCGTTGTTGTTGTCGTCGTCGTCATCCTAGCGGGCGGGCGGGTTTTTGTAAGCGTCGTTGATTCAATTCATCATCCCGCCGCGTTATAATGCGCTTCCGCACGGGCTGTCATCACGAGCTCCCTCCACCTCTTCCGATCTCCCGCCGCAGTCGCTGCCGTTGTTATTGTTAGATCCCCATTGTGCCAAGTCCCTGTCTGCTCTCTCTTCCCCGTCTGCTCCTAGGTCAGTTGTTCTCATACTTTTTCTTTTGCTATGATGCCCCCCCCTCCTTCCCCCCCCACCGCCCTCCCCCCCACCCCCCCCAGTTGAAGACCACTGGTCCCTGCGGCTTGCGCCCCACCACCACCACCCCACCGCTGCCCCCCCACCCCTTCCCCAAACTCCCTAAGCCCCACAAACACAACGAAGGCTACCCAGGCCACGATACAGAGAGATCACATGACCGTGCCTCAATTCGTCGACACGGTGTTAGTAAGGCACTTGTTTGACCTTGCGTCTCATTTTGTTTGGTGTTGGTACGGCAATTGTTGAATATTATGTATTGAGCGTGGCTTGTGTTAGTAAGGCATTTGCTACACCTTGTGTATCTGTGCCCTTTTGCCACCGCAGCGTGTGGCGTTCAAGTTCTCCGCGCACATTCCAAACTTCTCCTGCACGGTATCCATGCTAGGGCAGCCTGTGCCCCCCCTCCCTGAGAGGCTGAACCAGAGGTCGCAAACGGGTTTTGATTCCTTACCCGTACCCGTACCCGGCCGCACCAGGGTCGCAAACGGGCACCCGTACCCTACCCGATATACGGCTACCCGTACCCGGCCATGTATCGGGTAGGGTACGGGTATCGGGTACCCGATTGCGACCTAAGGGATGAAGCCATGTTGCAGGCGCGGGTGGGTTGATTCTAGGAACTTGAATTGTGAGAAGAGACAAGACGTTGGGAAATGAGTGACAAACGGTTACTCACCAGTGACTCACGGCCTACCCGTACCTGTACCCGGCCGCACCAGGGTCGCAAACGGGTACCCGTACCCGGCCGGGTACGGGTAGCCGGGTATCGGGTAGGGTACGGGTATCGGGTACCCGGTTGCGACCTCTGGGCTGAACCCATGTGTTGGAACCTGCTGTCCTAGGTCTTCCTCTTTCCCCTATCCACCCGTGTGTCGGTGTCCGTTGTTTCCAGGGGCAACCTCTTCGTGGTACCCATTCCCGAGTAGAAGCCCCGAGCCATTGTAAACTCGTCCTCACCCCGACCTCCTCATCGCCAGCTTTCATTGGCCGGTTGATTCGTAGAATTCGTGGCGCGGGCCCGTGCGTCACGAGCGCCGTCGGTTAGCGGCCTTCGTGAGAGTCCACGATTTGTTTCAATGAGAACGTTCGCAAGTTGGATTCGTCACTGCGCCCTCGCACGCGCCGTCCGATCACCGTCGCCTCCCGTGGTGCGTCGACGCCATTTCATCATTTGGCGAACGAAAATGCGGACTTGCTCCGTCGCGTGACACCGCCGAGAAATGTAAAAAATATTTTTTGTAAAATATATTTTTAGTTAAATATTTTTGACATTTTTTTATTAACCGCCGGAGCGGGGTGAACGTTGCGCGTGTTTGTTTTTCGCTCAACGGATGTCGTCCGCACGTAATGCACCAACACTTTCAATGGAGAATTGGGACAATTTCACAGGGGGCAGGAGGAGGGGGTGGGAGGAGAGGGGGCGAAGGTGAGGAGGAGAGTTTGGAGGCTTGGATTAAAGAGCTTGAACGTTGCGTCCGCAGTTGCCAGAGTACAAGGTCTCAGCTCTATTATTATTATTATTCAAAAGAGGTTTTGTGACATCAGCAGTTTCCAGGCCCAATCTGTAAGCACGGAAACGTGCATTTGACACCCAACGCGGACCTGCGCAGCAGACGTTTGCTTTTGCGAAATACGAACACGCCTGGTGTGTACACAGAAGTTACAAAATGTGTGCGCCGATCAAAGTTCCTTATTTTGAAACAGATAAATAAATAACTGCGCTGCGCGAAGAATCCACTTCCTGGTGACAGCGAAGGAAGAAATTATCGCTGTGCGTACGTCACGGTCGGTCGATCGCCGCGACGGAGAGATGTTAACTACCTCGCCTAGTATACAGGAGGTTGTGGGTTCGACCCTGATGCCTGTTGTTTATTTCGAGTTTGCATGTTTCTTTCTCTGTGGTCGCGTGGATTTCTCTCTGGGCCCTCCAAACTTTCCCTTCACATTTCGAATCGACATGCGTTCATAATATTCGACTGCTGTACATTTCCACGTGATGAGCCACTTCGTTGGGCTATCATTTGTGGCCAGCTCGCTTCTGTACAAGAGCCGTATAGCTCAGTGGTCCTTAACTGCTAAGATAACTTTTATTTTAGTTTGGGTTGCGCGTGGTGGGGTAAAGTGTGGGTACTTCTTACCCCTTTCGAGACGTCCGGCCGATGTGGAAGAGGGGCTCTCGGGTTGTGAAAGGATCGTTCCGCCAGCAGTGGTGCAAGCAAGGAATTGCAGGGCTTGCACCTTTGCCTTCATTACAGCGGCACGTTTTCTACTCAGGGGAGCGGCGCAAATCTCCACCAAGGGCAGCGAGAATCGGTGCAAAGCAGTGGCACCGGTTCGATGATCAGCGGCTTATCTCGACAAAGCGGCACGTTTGAGCACAGCCAAACCTAGCCGGTGGCCTGAGAAACCTGAGGAGAGACGCGACGCACCTCGTGGCCTGTGAAACGAGCAAATGACAAGGCCG